AGCAGGTAGTGATGACGTCAAAATCGAGGAGAAATCATGTCGTTACTCCTTTAGATGAATTTGTTTGCGGCCGGTTAATATAGGAACTTACGACTTTGGACAAATTCGATGTAGCAAAGTTATACTGTCGGCTTATCTATGGACGGGTTTATGTCCGGCAATATACGGTATATGTGGTTGGTGGCACCCGGTTCCGAATGCGTCTGTCACTGTGGCCTCAATAGGACAGCCACAGAACGCCTGCGCCTAGAAAGGGACCATGGGTGGCTTGCGCTGCAACACATACAGCTCCATCCACACACCTCATATCCAGTGTAAACCCAAAGAATAAGACCGGGAGGCATGTGGATGGGAGCCATGTTTCAATAACGGAGCCGGCCAACACTCGTTCAACATGCACAGCAGCAACGGCATTCCTGTCTAACTTAGGAGTCATGCGCAACCAGGCGGTGGTTGGGCCGTAGTGCGCTCCACGGTCACGAGAACCGTGCAGTCCCCCCCCCCCCCCAATCAACGATTCACAGTATCCTGGACCCAGGAATCGAGGTAGATAATGTTGGACAGGTAGGCGCCATGTCGACATTTACATCAAACGCAGCCAGGCAGTGTATATCACTAGGGAAGTTTTATGTGTCAAGCGCACGTCCGACAGACAGACAGACAGTCGAGTTTCGCCCGACGGAAACGACAAAGTCTAGCATACGCTTCATCAGCCTCAATCTTGGCAACTGCCCAATGGCCATTCAAATCCAGAATCATCACGTAATTTCCCATTCGTTTGTCCACACTTGTGTAAAAACTACACACTACACACACATGTTAGATAGAGGTGGGAAAGACCTCAGCTACTGTGCCGCAATACCTAAAAGAATAGAAAGGATTAAAATGCAACAGGTGTAAGTCAGCTGAGCTACCGGTAACGGATGGGCATCGTTCCGGTAAGCTACCAGCCAGCTACTGTGCATCAAAAAAATTACTATGCAAAATTATATAAGGCTAAATAATGAGATCGTGGTTGGAGGGGGAGGCTAAGAGGGATGGGGTGGGACAAAGAAACCCACAGCACGAACGCCACTGAGGTCGGCTCCTAGCCATATCAACAAGTGTGTCCAACCAAACGTGTTCATCGTCTTTCGGACTCCAACCAGGGAGCCGAGACAAGCTCAGAAGTAAGGGCCTTCATTCCTCTCGACCAAGTCATCGCTTGGCCACACCTTCCATCCACACCCCCGGCGCGCAAACAACGCACGTCGCGGGAGTCGGTGAACTTCCATGCGTAACACGCGGCCGAGCCATCGTAGCCTGGTGAGTGAAATAACGGTGGTGAGAGGTTCATTTCCTTTTCCAGTGCCGTAAACAAGGCGTCCAACATGTTCGTTGCTCACGCGGTGTTCCTATCAGATGTGAGCCAAACTGCGAAGATATATATATATATATATACATATATATATATATATATATATATATATATATTATACACAATCTGTGGTACAGATATTGTGCCATCGGAATCATGGCTGAATAGGAAAACAATATGAATAATAAGAAAAGAGCAACAACAAATGCTTTTTTTGTCTATTTTACCACCCACGGAGTTTCGGAAATTTTTTCAGTTTGTTCTTTTCTTAGGGGGAGGAAGATGGGACACCGCAACAAACCGATGCACACGTCCGCCATTGGCATCGATCTTGAGCCATGGCTTCCAAGGTCTTCAACCAGCAAGTATCCGCATCTCTCGGACCCCAACCAGGTAGTCGACAACAACCGGCCGAGGCCAACTGTTTCGTCAACTTTTTCATGTAGGCTGTAGGCTGTCCACCAGACCGTCTATTCCAGCCCTGTCCAGCAAGTGCAAACAACGCACGACGGGGGTAACGCTGGATAGGCATGCGCAATACGTGTCCCAACCACCGCAGCTGATGCATTGAGACGAGCTCCTTGAGCGAGTGGCTTCCACGTCCAAAGACACGCTGTATAACTTCCACAGTGCTTACGTGGTGCTGCCACCCACACGGGCAATGGACCGCAGACAGCGGTGCTCTAAGACGGATAGCCTCCGCAAGTCATATTTACGAATGGGCCAGGTCTCGCATCCGTACAACAGTACAGCAGGAACAGTTGCACAATAGACCCGCCCTTTGATGGAGAGACGAATGTCGTGGCGACGCCACAAATGCCTCAGCCTAGAACTGAGAAGATACCGTTGGTCGAACGTAACTAGCCTCTTCAGGTCCGCTGCTCTAAGGGGCTAGGTTTCACAACCGTACAGTAGGGCCGAACATACCGCTGCATTGTACACTCTACCCTTCAGGGCAAGAGTGATCTCACGCCGGCGCTATAAGTGACGAAGGTTAGCAAAAGCGTCTCGAGCTTTTGCTATACGGTTGGTGGTCTCACCCTCAATCCCACGGGCGCTGATTCAACTTCCCAGGTAGTTGAATTTGTGAACGACTTCTAGCTGATCACCACCAAGGGTCAGCGTAGGAGGCGGTCCAGACCAATCTTGGAGGAACGCTTTGCACTTCGAGGGTGCGAAGCAAAGCCCGAAGTGACGGACAGCTAGTGCTAATCTGTCCAGTTTCGCTTGACACGTTTGTGAGCTGTCACAGATTAGGGCAATATCATCAGCATATTCCAAGTTAAGAAGTCGTTCTCCTGGGAGCAGATCCACACCTTCAAAGTCGTGTCTTGTGAACGCGATTGCCATGACTTCGTCAATAGCGAAGTTGAAGAAGAAAGGTGACAGCAGGCATCCTTGTCTCACAGCGCTGGAAATATTAAAGGGCGACGACAACTGGCCGTAAGCCCTCACTCTGCCTGAGCTGGGTGCGTATAATGATCGGATAATATTTACATATTTCTTAGGCACACCTTTCCAGAGTAGACAGTCCCAAAGTGCACACATACCCACAGAATCGAATGCACCAATGATACCGAGAAACACGACAACGGTGGGTCGCCAATATATGTGACGGTGCTCCAACAACTGATGCAAAGTGAAGATGCTGTCGATGCAATCACGACCACGACGGAACCCGAGTTGCTCTTCACGAATATGGCTTTCACGAGTGCCAGTTAGTCTGTGGAGGATGACAGAGGCAAGCAATCTGGAGACGATGGAGATCAGACTGATTCCTCTATGGTTGCCGCATTACGATCGTGAGCCTCCCTTGAAAATCGGGACTATGACAGAGCAGTTCCAATCGGTTGGGACAGTTTCCTGCTCCCACAGTTTCACTAGTAACGCATGTAAATCATCCACAAGAGCAGGTCCCCGGAATTTGAAGAGGGCTGGAAGTAGATCATCTGGTCCTGCGGCTTTATTTAACTTCAACAGTGCGATCTCACGTTCGACTTCTGAGCGAGATGGTGGATCCAAAGGGACAGCCCAGGGAGCGGGGCGATCAGTGGCCGGCGAGAAATCTAACCATTCCGACCGATTAAATTGCCTTTCAAAGTGCTCAGCCCAACGCTCCAAACGTTTTGACAAGTTGTGGATAGGCTGTCAACTCTCGTCACAAATTCTTTCACTAACACAAGATCTTCTGCTGCCCGTTTCCCGTATCAGCCGGAATAACTTAAGATGGTTATCAAGGGCAGCGGTCATTCCCATCTTTGACGCACGATGAGACCACCAGGATTCGCGGTCTCCCTTCGCGCGAGCACGGAGTTTTGCTTGGAGCTCTTTGCGAGTTATTGTGTTCGCTTCCAGCCGGAATATGCCGGCGAGAATCGATAAGTGCCAGAGACTGTGAAGAGACCTAATGTTCATGTTGGCGAGTAGACTTACCACATGAGGATTTTCCTGCTGCTAGTAAGGACTGGTGAGCTACAATTGCATCTAGTGAACGCTTACTCAACTCGTATGACAGCGTAGTTTGACAGGCATTCAGAACCGATGGCTTCACCAGTTGGCTGGTGTCAATGCGCTCACAACGTCGTTGTGGGCATCCGCCAAAACGCATACGCAGGTCAGTAAACACAAGTGTATGGTCGGGGTCCACAAATGTGCTCCAAATCAAGCGACAGTTCTGGACGCAGCCTCTCCATCGGTAACTTATCACAATGTGATCGATTTGCGTCCATAGCTGGTTCGATAATGGTGGGTGCCAAGTCACTCACCGGCGGGTGCTGTGCCGGAAAGTAGTTCTCGCAAGAAATAAGCGAGCATCTTCACACAAATGAAGTAACCGCTCACCGTTATCATTACGTGAGCCTACACAGAGTTAGCCACCCAGATGCAGTTCATCTGTGGATAACTTTCCAACTTGTGCGTTCAGATCCCCAGCCAGCACTACAGTGTCCGTGCATCTTCTGTGGCGAAGGAGCTGGGTCAGTTGGCGGTAGAAGTCGTTCTTTACCGAATCATCGTTAGTTTGTGGGAGCGTAGGCAGCAATGACGAATAGACACCGAGTAGTCCCGCGCGACTTCGAAGCTTTGAACGAGCCAGCCAATCGGACAGCACACAACTGGCTACTGATTGGAAACCAATCAAACAGAGCAGTTTCAGCCCGGGGACTCAGGGCAGTGCAAACACCAGCTTGGCCGAAGCAGGAAGGTACATCGCCATCGGATAGGCGCAATGCGAAAGTGATGTTGGTGTTACCTGAAGGGGATCGCGAAGTGAGCACAGAGCTCGAGTCTTGCAGGCGGGTCTCCGATAAGCAGCAGATATCGATCGAGAGGGTCTCTAATCTTCGGGCAAGCGCTGCCTGTTGACCGATCTGTAGCAATGTGCGTACATTAAGGCATGCCAATCTGAAGGACGATCGAGGGCTCCAAATGAAAGCCGATGAACTGGAATGGGCCGCTTGCTTGGACATGGGCTTGTCAACATGACAGGAATGACGCTCCGCGTTCACATGTGAGTTGAAACTAGAAGGTAAAAGCCTAGCAAAGCATGTTGGGGAAGGGCCAAGAATCGGGGAGTTGAAATCAGGGGGAATAAAAGTGAAGCTGGAACGGGACGGTAAGAGAAAATTGATGGAAATGGACCCACCATTTGTTTCGATCCTGGAGAGTGGGTGGTCGATAATTCCGCGTCCCGAGGATTTGAAGGGCTCTGGGATGGATAAGGAACAACAGAAGTTTGTTAACCGAAAATGTGCGGTGGAGTTAAGAGCATCGATAAAACAAATGGACAACAGACTACCATCTCTGAATACAACTGATTGCCAATTAGACTGTTAGAAGCGTCAGTTCGGTATCAATTCTTTTAGAACGGAGTGAACTCACTTGCGCGGATCTAAATCGAACATGGGTGGTTGAAGTTCCGCATATTCAATTGCTGTAATGCCAACACCCCATACGTCGCATTTTCCATCGTAACCAGCTCCTCGTGATTCGATTGATGCAACTTCTGGAGCCATCCTGCAAAGTTGAATATATTGCTAACACAGAGGAGATAACAGGTGAAAAGACAAAACGGCAAATGATGTGGTGCGAAGTGATAAAGCTAGATTTAAAAAAATAGCAAGCACAAAAATAAGTAAATTTGGCTAATCGCAGTATGTCTGGTGCCCCAACAGAATTTCCTCACTAATGTCAAGACCCTGGCTCATTGGCATATGACAGACTACTTTGGCAGGTGCTTAGTTGAAGAACTGATTGTAAATGAACAAGCGACACTGGATGGGGTAGAAGGAGGAATCGAAAGGCATATAACACTGTCAACGAAGCACTGACCAGTAAGGCGTTCCTATGAGTGTTGTTCGCTTTCCGACGGTGTTGTTCAACTGTGCCGCTACTCCGAAATCCGCTGACAGTGCAAATTATAGTCAGAATGTCAAATATAGGGGACCTACCAACTTTGACGCGTCCATCGTCAGTGAGCAAAATATTGGCACCCTAAACAAAAAGTGATGGGACAATGGATGTTACTTTGATGTCCCGATGAATCCGACCGCGTTCATGCATGAAGTTGAGACCTTGTAACGTCTCACGCGAAACAAAAGCAATGCAATCTTCTTCCAAAGGAGTACGAGTATCTGTCATCCCACAGAAAAATAAACACGGTCAATGGATCATTTACATAAATATATGTCTTGCATTGATTGGCCTCCACAATACTCCATGCAAATCCATAGTTTGCTATTTCTAAATAGAAGCGGTGATGTACTGCACAAAACCGAAAGAATACCGAAGATAGCTACCATAAAACTGGACAATATTTGGATGCCGGCACTCCCTGAGCGTGTGTATTTCTTGGCATATTGACTTGACATCATCTTTGAGATCGATTTTCATAATCTTGACGGCAACAGGATCTCGGGTTTCACGGTGAACCGCCTAAGAAAAATTGATGCAGCAAGTAGATGGGAAGATAGTTGTCACTTGTAAGTTACATAGTAATAGCGCGACAGTTGAAAAAGTATGAAATCAAGAGCAAAAAGCAGTCGGACACATAAATCGGAAAAATAGGAGCCCACGTGTAATAACACTTAAATCAACAGCTAGTAGGCGCTGCATAGTGAAACCAGCCAAACAATTCATCTAAAGATAAATCGCGTGTATCAGCACAGATTTGTGACCATGAGCAACATGGGATGAACACACGCAACACACCAGTCAACTGCCTCATCAGGATAGAAGCGCATACGACCCAACTCCTTGTTCTCTAGAGGAAAGGTGTCAGCATAAACCGTGAATACTGTAGCGGCTGCGTGTCCTAAGAGAAGTAATCAAGAACTAGTGTCGAAGACCTCGAAAATACTTCAGGTGAGAATTCAGCAGAGTGAGACTGACACAACAGAGGGAAAATCCCGCCGACGCCGCACATTCTAGCATACAAATCGGGTTTCTGGTAAAAGAATAATAATGTGTCAACTGTGCGCCGTAACGGCGCTTCGGTGCCGTGCGATCACCACCAGTCGCACGCGAGCTGAGTATACTGTGAAGATGCCCACCCCTACGCGGATTCGAACCCGCGCCGTAAGATTACGAGACAAGCTCGTTACTTCTACGCTACGGGCCAACGGGTTTTTGGTAGCATGCACAAGATACGATGTGTCAGTGTTGAAGATTACGAAAAGTACAAAGCTGCATGAAAATGAAATGACCAAAAATAAAGTTGCTCGGAAGAAATGCAATAAACCAATGTCCGGATGCACTGTTATAATGTGAGAACAGGTCAACGTGCTGCGGCGCCGAAATGAAGCTGCGTTTAAAATGGGAGAATTCGTGCTCTCTCTGTCTCTAGAGATAGATAATTATTGTAACAGAATATTCTAAACCTCGGGATATCAAACCAGAAAACTTGTAAACTACTTAGGATGCTTTTAAAACTAAACTGAACGTATTTCAAGTCAAACTTAGAGCACCTTACTTCCTATAAGGAAAATAAATTTATTAACAGGAAAGCAAATGACAGACCCTTGATGAAAGGCAGTTCCAATGTTCCTGTCGGCGAGTTTATTATCATATTGTAGATGCAATTAGTGCAATTCTGCTGAGTTACCGTTTCGGTATTTTTTGAATGATATCGCTATCTGGTAAAGTCG